GTCTCTAGAAAGCAGCGAGATCGCATCCTAGGCGCAATCGCGGCCTGGAACGAGAAGAAGGTTAACGACAGCGAATCCGATTCGGGCACATCGCGTTCGCAGGCTGGGTCCAGTCGCATGAATGAACTCTACTCTATCAAGGCATTGGAGAAGTGTCTAGCAGATGACTCCCACGCGCTGCTCCATTTCGCCGCAGCCAAGGAGTTCAGCGGCGAGAACATCATCTTCTTGAATTACGTGCGCGACTGGAAGGCCAGTTGGGCCAGAATCAATGCGTCAAATCCCGAATACGATTGGACCCGAGATCCTCAATATCACCGGCTTCACTTCTTCAAGATTGCGGTCGAGATCTATAGCGCCTGCGTCAATCTGAAAACGGCAGAATTCCCGATCAACGTCGAATCGCGCATCTACTCAGATCTGACGGCAATGTTTGGCGACGCAGTGCAATGTTCCGGTCGGCGTGTGTCAAGAGGCACCGCAACACACATGGAAGAAGACACCCGTGCTCTGTGTCTGGACGAGAACCCCTACGTGAGCCAAAGCATCATGCACATCAAGTCTCGTGTCCCCGACTCGGTCGCTGTCCCTGTGAACTTCGGGATCTCTTCCTTTGACGAGGCCCAGAAGTCCATCCTCACTCTGGTGTTTACCAATACCTGGCCCAAATTTATTGATTCTTCGAGCGACGACTTGTCCATCAAGTTTTGAGTAAAGATACGGAAGGTCCGACAATGGTTCTGGTTTGGGGGCTTATGTTAATTTACAATTAGGTACAAATGAAGTCTTATTGGAACAGTGGAAGTAGATACAAAGTAGGGATTACATGGGTTTACCCTCCCGCGGGCCAGCCTGACATTCACGAGTCAAAGATGGGCCCAAAGGCGGGCACCCCACTGGCCTCGAGTTCGAAAACGACCTTCTTTGTGAGCACCGGGTTGCTAATGACGCAGACAGCCTCCGCATCGAATTCCCGGACGAGTTCTCGCGCCATTGGGACCATGTCCAGTCGCCCGCTGCTATTCGTATCGATGATCAGGGGGTTCGGGTCCAGCTGGCGCACGAGGTTGAGGACGTCTTTGCCATATGTCCGGCTCGGGTTTCGTGTCTGCCAGAGGACTCGCAGCGGCGGGCGATCCTTCTCACTCAACCAGGAGAGACATGGCCCTATTCCGGACCCTGTGGTGACAATGACGACCCTACGGAAAACCCGCATCACATGGATAAAGCCGTACATCAGTGTGCCACGTTTCCATAGGTAGGTTGGTTGCTGATCAATGCATCGAGTGGTCCAGTCACCTGCCTTCGAGACGATGCATGAAAAGCTTTTGCCATCGGGATCAGGGAAGGTTGCAAAGCTATGCCACGTCCGCAATGGATGCTTGGAGAGCGCGATGACTTTCCCAAATGCCGTGGATGTATGATCCAGGTGGAGTCGGGCCGCATGGGGTGAAAGATATTCGGGCCAGACTTTCACTCGACGCAGCAACAGCCAGGGGTGGACAATTGTGGCGACGATAACGAGGACAATCCAGAATGCAGGGAGCTTGATCAGGTATCGTCCCAGGCTCACGTCTTCTGCGTGACGCGCCTGGTCGGAGAAGACCACCAGAAGAGTCAGGAACAGTGCGACCGCCAGCCATGCACCGAAGCGATGCGTCAGCTCGAAATAGTCATGCATTTTCGTCCGGAATGTGGGATGCGCAACGACGATGATCGCCACCAGATCCGCGAGCAACACATAAGCGAGCACCACCACCGGCAGAGAAACAGTCCCCGACCCTGGTAACATCCAATATTCTCGCGAGATCAAAGCCACGAGGCCTACGTACCACAAGAACGATGCCACGCCACATCCACTGTGTACACCGCCGTAATGGTACGCTTTCGCGGCCATCTTGCGCAGCATGAGAGGGGTCGACTGTGGGATGCGGCATATGCTCACAAAGATGACATTGACCACCATGGGGTGTCGCGCCAAACCGCATATAAGTAAATTCACGGCGGCTGCGTTGACGAATGCGAGCAGCTTCTCTCGGCTTTGTACCATCACAATCACGAATGCGACCGCATTGCCGCAGTAGATGAGTGTAAACAAACGGCGGTAGATGGTGAGAAGCAGATACCGTAGTGAAGCAAAGCACTTGCGGGGAGGCTGCTGGGCCTCCAGGTCCACATTGGCAGAATACCGTTTCCAATCGCCGGTGGTGTCATGACTGAGATATGTATCGACCGACGTCGCAACACTCGGCTTACTGGAATGCGTGGGCGCCATTGCGTTCCAAGATGAGGCAGCCTATGTGTGGTGTTGCAATTGAGGGCCACGGGCAGGTGAAAACCCAGATATATACAAAATAGGACACATATGTACACAGAGAAATCCCATGGGCAAAAAACAAAAAGTAAAAAAAACAAACATGAGAATGACAACAGCTTAAATAAGATCAGTGCTACCAACCAACGGAGTCTTACGGGCGAGGACCAGCATGGTTGTCAGCAAAACTACCCCTCACTCTCTGATACTCGTAAGATGCCGTTAGCAGGTTAACGGTTGTGGGTCACTGAACTAGCAATTGTACTAGCTGCGCAGATGGCAGGTGCCAGTCGCATGGCTGAGGTCGAAGAGCGAGCCATTAAGTGGACTGGCAGGGGCAACTATAGGGAAACAAAGAGGCCACGCAGGCAGTCGAACCGGGGGCTCGCCATTGAATCTGACCTGGACGAATGGCATGGGAGGACGACTCATGCGTATGCAATGCAACCAGCTAGCCATGGACTAGGACCCGTCTGTCCCCAGTACCGCTCTGGCCGTTGGGGTTCCGGTGCAGCTTAATTAAATTTGCAGCTCAACGCAAATTGCGTTTCCCATCTCCACTATCAAGGTTGGACCACCATACCTTCTGTCCGGGGAGGAAGAAAGAGGAGATTCCTTCTTACCGCCGGATTCACGATGATCACCGTGCACCCGGGGGGTTCTACCTGTCTGAACTCTCCATCGACCACCAGCAGCGTCGAAGCGTGGGGATCGACATGCTACTAGTCCATTCGCTGATAAGGCATCGGCTTGGCATCTAGAAGGCTTTGCTAGGGTTCGACCCGTGCCAATAACAACAGTTGGGCCCCTCACTAGCCAATTGTATTAATTTCGTTCGTTTGCTGGCTTCACATCCATGAACCTCTAGTTGGGACTCGGACCGCTGAAGTCAATTGCTGGTGTTGACCTAGCGCACGTCTATAAAAATATATTTCAGGGGCGGTGTGTGTTGATTTGGCCCCTTCTCGAACCAATACCCGGGGCAGACGTCAAGCACGCGGTCAGCTGAATAATGCGGCTGTGTATATAAATTTAAGCGTTACAGGCCACCGAGTCATGACTGGTGAGCCACATGGATTCTGCCTCTCATTAACCCCCGGAAGTCTGGCGTTGACAGGCACGAGCTGACGGACGAGGCAGCCGAGGCAACGGGCTGAGGCAAAAGTTTATTCCGACACCAAATTTGACACTATTCAAGGATTCGCAACACATCGCTTCGTAGCCCGGCACCATCGAAATGGCATGATCGGGTGGTCTAGGATTCCACTCCCATGGAAATACTGAATGAATTACTCTCCTTGTCCGCCAGCATTTCGATAACGTAAGCTCAGCCGAGCGGCCAGCCCCGTCCAACGCTCTCCAACGCTCTCCAACGCTCTTTATGCCTTAGGGGCTGACGGACCCCTGCCTGGCTCACCCAGGAAGAGCCAGTCAGCATCTAAAAATAAAAACAATAATCCCACGTAGCCGAGCCCAAGTTCATCTCGCACGTCCGGAATTAGGATGCTTGCAGCACACAGTAAGAACAAACGGGGATATGGTCTTAGCGGCTTGGTCAGTGGCATCATCATGACAAGAATGTACGTGATGTGCAACATTGCCTTCTGCATCTTCAGTACTACTGAATCCCTCCAGATTATCCTTTCAGGGTTCGGCAGTCAACGACGCCTCTCGCGCCAAGAGGGCCTGACTGGTCAAGACGACGCATGCTGCACAGGGTGGCTGCTGCTCTTTGCCCCAAAGAGGCAGTCACTTTAACCGGGGTCAGATCCCACATTCCTAAATAAGCGAGCCAGATCCCGTTCAGATTTTAGATGACATAATTCCAGTGTGGATTGTGTGTGTTCTTTTGTGTTTTTGTGTGTGTGTGTGGGTCGATCATCTGGAATGCGATTTTAGGGTCTGTGGATCGGTCCAGCTTTGTCCGGCTCATGCCTGAGGCACCAACAGCGGCGGGTGTGCCTTTCCGTTCGACATCAACACCGAGTCCATCCCGGAGTCCGGATAACACCCTCGCTGCCTACGCGAACGGCCCCGCCCTGGAACACCCTGAATCAAGTTTTCTCGATAACACCGGCATATCACTTGCAGGAATCCGAACCTCTGGCCCCTTTGGGAAACGCCATTAGGCGTGTCCATCTCCCCGGTCCGCATGCAGCCCGATATCCTGACGCTGCGTACCCACTTGTCATGAACTACAATCAAATTACAATATGCATGATGTCACTGTCTGCCCTACTATCCCGATGTGGTACCATCCGTTGACGTACATATAGACTTGGATAACCCTATACTAACAATGCAAACCTCGAGCTGGGTAGAGCTAAGGTAATACTCAAACAATGGGAAGCAAGGAAGGTGTTCGAGCTACTGGCACTCTATTCGGATAATTGCCAACTAGACCAGCTCATCAAGCGTGGCCTTGAGATGTGTGGCGGATGCCACGCTGATATGCATGTCAAGGCGGAGCTCAACAAGGATTGACGTGCTGGGAGGATCGAACAGCGCATTCAAACAAGAAAGACGTACAGATTAAGGTTAACGCATGTTTAGAGTCTCTTACATTGTCAAGACCGAGTAAACCCGGCATGTACCTCGTCATGGGGCATACTTCCATTATCTTTTCTGCATAAAGTGGTATTAATGTACTGCGTCAATTTCTCTCTGCCTCCTATGATCATCGGTATTACAGCTGCTCATGGTACGATCGTCTCCGTCTTGTGATCAACGAGCGGATTTGCCGACGAAAACCTTCATTGTATGAATAAGTGAAAGCATTGGCAAGGCCGATGAATTGCGTGGATGCTTGCAGGATCTGCAGCCACCTCACCTTATGACCAAGGGACTCGAGCAACCGATTGAGCAACCCGGGGATCCACAGCAGTACATAAAAGGCCGGGTAGCCATTCAGCAACATAACACGGCGAACTTCGGCATATCGGATCTTCTTATCTCGCTGTTCCGTAGAATCCCCTCCCCTTCCTGGGGTGTCAGCATACCTCAGGCGGCGCTCATTGGCAGTCGTGTCGTATTTACTCGGGTGACCTTTCGCTAGAGCTCCACGTTAGCATTACAATATGAAAGAGATTCCGTCGGCTTACCTGCGGAGAACGGGACCTGCGAGGAGAGCTGATCCTGTGACGGAGACTCGCTTACCCCACCGGTGCTGGCTGGATTATTGACCACGTCGATACTCTGGACAGTGATTGTCGTATCCAACCTTATGGACGACAGATCGATGGGATCCCCTTCTGTGGACCTGGATTTATCGCGGCCAGATGTTGTATCACCGTTCGGGAATAGGCTCAGATGCTCGTAGCGGCGCTTCACCACGACGAAGACCACAATATACGTTATGGCTGTAATGAAAACAATCGCGATTCGCCAGGCATGACCAAGGGCGTACCGTAAGCCTAGATATTGTGACTCGATCCAACACCAGTTGCCGCTCACGGGTCCAATAATCCCCAGGCCCACTGCCGTAGTACCTGCCATGAGTGAGTAAGGTGGGCCGAAACCAGCGAACCGGAAGGAGTACGGATGCAGAACTGGGGCAAGGACTGAGCACTCACTGGTGATTAAGGGGGTAATCCAGATTGAGATGCACAATATCACCTTGGCCCTCCAGCTTAAAGTTGACACTATGGTTGGCCGTTGCACAATCCACAACGCGACCATGGCTATGGCCAGAATCGAAAAATCAATCGCCTGCGCAATACATGATGAGAAGGGAGGCCTATTATCGAGGACGCTGGTGAAACGAACTTGGACGGAGAATTGGCCAATCCAACCATTCAACTGGCAGCCAGGGCCAGGGCTGAGGTCATGGTGCCCACTGAGGACTAAGAATCCTGAAACGGTATTGTTTGTGGCATTAATGAAATCTGTTTGGTAGGACATGCTCATGTTAGCCCACTCATGAGTCGGACCATCGTGAGATGTGATAGACTGTACCTGCGATTGTTAGATTGAGAATTAGCCAATGGCGGAAATGGTTTTTTGGTGAGATGGCGAAGATGACGAGAACAAAAGCCGACGCAAGAGCAGATAGTAGACTCCCAACCACCGTCGGGATGGACACAGCGAGGTCAACAGCCATGAGATACTGAGGCACCGTCACAGGGCCTCATTTCGTGTCATCCGTGAGGCATGCATAGACCTGAACGGGAATCGCATCACCTGGGAGGTGTGGACTATTTGCTTAAATCAAACAAAATGAAAATAAGCTTGCTTACTTGTTATCACTGTTCGCTTCTATTACATAACGTGTCCCACTGACCCAAACATTGGATTCCCAGAGGCCGCTAGCCCCGTAGCCAAATACTCTAAGTATCAGACTACTGTTACAGGGCCGGTGGGTGTGTTCGTATATCTTTTCCTCCTAGAAATGGCGCAGGTCGAAGAAGGCCTTCGATGGCCTATCGGAGCGGACATGACCGACGATCTCTTGCCTAAATAAAGCTGCTGGCCCCACTAACGGTTCGAATCTTGAGATGATATGAGCTCAAGTTGTGCGTGGAAGGATCTCGCCACAAACTTTAATTTCTCGTTGCCATTCCTTCCACTTCCCCTTCCTGGTCCCCTATTTCAAGCCGGTTGTCGTATTTCGGCTAGGGAAAAGTAAATCTGGAATGGTAAAGCAGCTTCGATATACTAGCATGTATTGGGCTATAGCACAAAATCGATTAACATCCTGTGAAGCACTGTCCTACAGATGACACCGGCAGGTGCTCCTTTCGGCCAGCGAACTGCCATAAAAAGGCTACATTCGCAAAGGATTTAAAGTACATCGCTGGATATAAGCCGCGGGCTATATAGTTATCGAGCCGTCCATGCATTGTGGAGAATAGGGGGGATGGAGTTACCGGAATGCGATTTCTTGGCCAGTGCAACGAGGACTGACGCGTGGAGCCGAGGAAAATGTGAACGGGTCTCAGGGGCTCCAGGGTTGCTTAGTGGCCGTCTCAGAACACATTGAGAATAAGCTTCAGCCAGAGCCTGTTGATGACCTTAAGTCTGGCAATTGAAACCCGTCCGGGGCTTCCTTGAATGCCGTTGTGCATGCAATCGTTTCAACACTGCTGCGGTGGACAATTTTCAGGAACAAGACATCCGATTGAATCTTCAAGGCTCTATACAGGCAAGTTCTGTGCTTCGGTCCCTTGCATTCGATGACAGCAGTCCAAAATCATAGACGTAAACTAGGCGCATTGTGAACCATGGCACAGGTTAGGGTTAGAATACCCAAAGCCAAAGCATACTCCGGAGTAGCTTGACAACCGAGAGAAACGACCCACAACTAAGTATATTCAGCCACCATCACTTTTCTCTGGAACGCATGATCTGAAATGGTCTGATTGTTCCTTGACTTGCCACCCGACTAATTATTTTCCCTGTTACCAGCCAAACAAAGAGTTTCGAACTTCCAAACCGAGTGCTTGCTCATTGAAAGATCTTCAGTCCGATGGGCAACCCTTGCGCCCAGGCTGAAACCTGACTGAGACAAAAAGGGTCTCAGTGTGGGCACAGTGGAATCCTGCCAATCGACTAACTTCAAGATTCACTAGCGATAGGGGTCAAAGGAAGTGTGGAGGAGACGGCAAACGCTGGGACTCAACGTTGGCTACCAAGCCAAATGGCCTAAAATAGCCCCAGCCACACTCTATTCTTCCCTCGACAAACGCTCAATAGTCTTTCCATTGGCGTCGAAGGCATGTTCCAGAAATTCAGAATCCATAGAACAGGGTGGGTATTGCGATATTAAATACCTGGACTCGTATCAATTTCGCTGTTGGCCCCGGGCCCACATGGACGCCTGGATGCGACCGTCTGTTCCGTGTGGCCTTTAGGGCTTATCTTAAGTACTTGTGGTTAACAACGGACCCACTGAGGATGATGTCTCGCCCAGCCCAGCAATGTCAACGGCGAGAGTTCATTCTTTCCTGAAAAGTTAAAAGACATTCGGGAAGATGCTGTACCATGGTTGGTATACAGCCTCTCTTGGTAAGGATAATGCCCGTTCTGAAAGCCTTACCCAGATCCCAATGAAGCTCCGACTACGGCCCGGCATCACGGTGAGCCATCGATGCAGCCAAAGCTACAGGAGAGATAATCTAGAATATTCTGAATCTCCAGTGTATGTGTCAAGGATGCCAGCTCATGGTAGGCAACTGTGACACTGCCAGTGTCTATGGCATTAGTCATCTACGTAGACTAGTTAAGTAACTAAACTAAGTTCCAAGAAGTATGGCAGAGGGGGAAATCGAAGTGATGGAGTGGCATACAATCCAGCAGGAATGTCCGGAGGCTACAGCACGTTTTCGAAGTAAGTATCCCTATATATATCCTGTCGGATAACTCGAGAAGATGCTTAAACGTTTTCGCTCTTCCAAAGGATCAGGGTAGATTGACACCATGTCAAGATCTCGGGAAGTATATATTGTGTGCCGGCTGGCGTCTCACGGAGAATATATTCCGATTTCAGTGATCTTTACAAATTCCCGGTGGACGCGGTTCATGCTTCGCCATCAAGAGTGCGAAAGCCCCAAGAATCCTGTAGGCTTGGAGCGAGGATCGTCGAAGGCTGTTCAAGATGGCCGCTGTTCATTTGCGCATGAAGTCTTTCCGCCCCCAAGGGGGTGGATCTGATCGTCTTGTTTGGATGTGATCGACGCGCCAATAAACACGACAGATATGTGCGTGATCTTCGACGGGAAAAGCACTTGGACTGCCGATCCTGAGGCTGGGTCGATAAATCTTTGACCAGGCCGGTGCATTCCCAACCGTCCAAAGAGGTACAAAACCTCGACAGCTCACAACCGTGCGCCTCGTTGCCACTCGACTGACGCTTCTGATGTAGATTGATACGTGGGAAATGCTCGGATCATACCCTTGTTATGGCCCAGAACCTCAATGTCACTCCGGACGTACAGATTGAGCCTCTGTTCCTGCAGCTTTTTAATTATGCCGACAAAACCAACATCCTGAAGCTGGAAGACTGGCTCTCGATCCTGACGCTCTGTTTGTCCCCACTAATTGCCCATATTCTTTCAGGCGTCCCGACCGTCGTCCGACGATGCCCCAGTCCCCCGACATGGCTCGACACGCTTTGCCTATACAATCCCACTACCATCCTATGGCGATACCTCGCATCGTGGAACGCCGCGTGAGGTATCGCCATCGTTGGGATGCAGCGGACATGGCCGCCACGAATGCACTGTTTTGGACGTCACACGGCTTCGACGGCTCCGAAGACATGATGAGGCAGAGCCGAAGCTTCTGTACGCGCATCCCACATCATCACCGCTCAGAAATCTGGTCAATCGATTCGATTAAGACTGTCATCGTCACCCTGCAAGGTATCCAAGCCCTCGTCGTTCTAGTTCGCGGCATCTTGGCGTTAGCAGCATTGGTAATCAACCGTACAACGCAACCATCTCCATGAGCACTATTTTCTACCCTCTTGCGGTCATCGGTCTCCTTCGTCTGTTTGCTGCCCCCTGGCTGACCGAGAATTACACCTACCATGAGCATGAAACCTACGAGAGTAGCAGGATTTTGGCACAGCATATCATCCACACCCCGTCTTCGGATGGCCCTTCCTATACAGCCGTGCGCAGCAGCCATGACGCTAAAATCGTGACACCGTCCAATGCGTCACTCTTACCCACAAGCCCGATGGCCATCCGTGACCTGTCGCTCGATGTTTGTCTGCCTACCAGCAGACCTTGCCTTCCCACCCAGGCCGCCGTTGTGATTGTCCGTTGCTGCTATCTTGGCCTGTTATGTGCCATTTTGGCCATCTGTGTGTGCTATATGATCCCTCACCAGGGGGTGACTGAGCTGCTGACGCAGCCACCATCTGCGTCAGTCCTTTGGCTACTTCCCATTATGTATATTGTGTTCATTGTCGTATCGATCATCCTCTTCATCATTTACCTCATCCGGTGCGGCCGGGAGACAACAACCGTCATCCCGTGTCTTCGCACATGGTGGTATCGCGCGTACACCCTTCTCTTCATTGCAACAGCAACTGCGTTGATTGTCCTCTCCGGGGTCTACACAAGGCGGACATCATGTGGGCAGCTGACAGTTTTCCCAGCCGAACTTGACCAGGAGGTGTGCAATGGGACACCCATGCAGGTGGACAAGGCTGTCGGACCGTTTGGAATAGTTACTCAAGTGCCAGGCCTCACACCAGAAACCTGGGTCTTACCATTGAAGGGCTGGTGTTCTGGAACCTTGACAGGGGAGATCCTCCCAGTCGAATCTGTGTCATGATGGGTTCAGAAATATCCCAAGGAATACTGGCTGGACACGGCTCTAGTATATACGAACATTAGTAATGCTATGATGAAAAACAAGGCTAAGTATAGAATATTGGCTCCTACATGGAGCCTTGCGAGGTATTTGCTGATCTTCTATGAGTTTCTATATGTAGCCTTCTAATTGTAGTTACAGAAGGAACATCGCCTGGTAGGTATGCCCCCGTCCACGTTAATGGCCTTCCATGAATATTTGCAGCTCATAGACGACTCCGAGGACGGCGTACAATGTGTTGCCAATAACAGTAATCACAGTTGGGTAGGTTTCATGCCAGTACTGTTAGCCCTAAACCCAGGATATACTGGATATGCTGGAAATTCCCAGGGCACACTCCTCCTCAGTAACTGGTAGTCCAACCCCTTATCACCCGCATTCATATACATAAACTTGGTATAGGGCACCGTGGCATAGTATGAAAATGACACACCGGCGGGGACAAACGCGACATCACCATGCAGTAAAAGTACCCGCTCGTAACCCTGTACCTGCAAAGCAAGCTGTCCCTCCTCCAGTTGGAGTGCAAAATGGTGCGGTAATGTCGCCGTTGAGACCGACTCATTCGCCAACTTACTTGACATGATAATAGTTCCCATGGTAAAGTTTCCGTCTGTTTGCGCGGGGGTCGCAAGTGGCTGGATGACCTTGTATCCAATGTCGGTGTTGAGATATTTTGGACCGTAATCCTTGGCCACAAAGTATGGAGTTGTTGGGTCGTTGGGTGGGGTGTTGGGGCCATCATGCCAGGGCTGCTTGGCGTCACCAGCGGTGCCATTCACAAAGTCGCGCCGTGGGATATACTCCTCCTCTGGTGCTGCATACAGGTCCAACGAGACGAGGCGGTTGTATTCTTGGGGCGTCATTGGCCCGAACGGCGAGGGGTCATCTGGAATGGGAACATAGGGTGAGCTGATCCCGTCGGTATCGTGGTCCCCTTGACTGAAGACATTGAAGAGTTTTTCGAAACCGCCAGGATGGAAGACATGCGTCAGTTGTGAGTCGGGATCCACCAGCTGGAAGGTGTGGATGGACCCTGGAGGGATATTGCCGTAATCCCCTGGTGTCGCGACGCGGGCCTCGTGGCTGGAATTAGTGACATTCTTCTGTCCCCAGAGCTGACAACGCCCACGTGTGCAGTAGAGATGCTCATGCGTCAAGCCATGAGTGTGCGGCCGCGCTGACAACCAGCCTGAAGCTTTGCCGTTATGTTGCAACAAGGAAAAGGCACCGTCAGACGAGTTGGCAGTGATGGAGAAGCGGATTGTTTGGGAGGAGGTGAGTTTGATCGCGTCACCCTTGTATTTAGGAAGAACATATGGACGCACAAAATTGGGTGCCGTATCAACGATGATGCTTTTATTTGACGGAACGCCCTCTGTGGCAGCAAAGGGGGTGAGCAAGAGAATGGATAGCATCCATGGTACGAAGGGGCTCCTCATCTTGGGCAGTATTATAGGAGGCGTAGCATATATGGAGAGAACAAGTCTATAGTCTATAGTAAATAGTGAGACAGAACACCAACAGTTGCTCGGCCAGGAAGAGTATTATATAGAAGAGGGCATGGAATATGTGAGCGACATCAGGACCAACACAGTGATAAGTGGAGTCTGTTATTTCAGGACACAGAGGCCCGCTCGATGTACCTGAAAAGATATCATGTAATTTCATGTTGCCAGACATTGCCAGACAAACGATGATGCTGTATATTCGCTGCCAAGTCCATCCCGCCATGGGTTTTATCGTACGCCTGCGCCATGCTACTACCATGGCCGGGACTCCTTGGCGCAGCCTGAAACTACCATCATCTGATGGAGGCATCTGGAGGAATCTTCACGACAGCCAAGCCTATGCACCTTGCCATGCGTCCTTTCTTTATGCTTCGGATTTGGTGTGCAGGGTCCTACTCCTGTGAATAGGTTAGCCCTGCCTCTGACGCAGCTACGGCCCCTTACGCTATTCCTCGCTATACAAATAGCACGTAGATAACAATACGCTACAGTGGATGCCCTGAAAGGCGGTGCCGTGGGGAAGGGAGATGAAATGATCAGCTCACCAGTTGAGCCATCCAGACTGCTTAGCAAATATTTACCATCAGCGGGAATTAATTCCGCTGAAGGCCTCTAAAGTAGGTCCCCACATACCGCGATTATGTGCCCTCAACCCCCGGCACATGTCAGGATATGTGGGTCATCTTTACGCAGATTATCAATCGCCAGATACTTTTTCTGGAAGCTTAAGCGACCCAGAACGCGGGTTGGAGGAGCGTAGAGGGACAGCCAAGAAATCATCTCCGAATCTAGAACATTCGCTATGATCCTACGACAGCCTTTGATGATACTAGCCTAAAGCCTCCCGTCTGTAGAGCCGCGACCAACTTGGCGGCTGTGCCTGGAGAGAGTCATGAAGGTCCCCAGCAGGATACTAACCAAACCATCAGACCTGCGAAATGGTCATAGTTAGGTGACCTTGGGCTTTTCATCAATGAAACCACACTCTGGGCTCTTGTTCTACATCTATTTTGCGCTTATATCGTATGTCCCGTACCAGGCAGCCATTACAATCCCTTCGAAGCTGGTACGAACTATGTGGAATGTCAATTCCGATGGTTGCACTGCCACTTCTAGACCGCGAATCCAGTGGCAGATTGCCTAGATGTACATTGCCTGTTTCTACATCCTGTTGGTTTTGAGATGCCCACAAATGGATCATGAATAAGTGGACGCTAGTAAACAGTAGTTTGAAGCATATTCGTATAGTGTTTTGAACTGACTCATGGATTGTTCGCATTTTGATCAAGGAGGAAAGTGCTCAACGCTTCCAGCAAAGCTTTCTGGATCATATGTGTTAGTATATGAGTTGTCGTCAATCCTTGCTCCTTCGTATGCTCTAAATTCGAAAACAAGCTGGGTACATATACGTACAAACGAAGGAAATTCATAAGATGGCTTGGATAATTGTAACCTGTACTGGCCAATAATCTATCTATTAATTCTAACACACACAATATTACATGTAGGCGCAAAACGACATGAATCAAAAACTAGGAGAATGGTCTTTGATGCATAGTTCAATTCGAAAGGTCACGCCTGGAGCAATGAGACTGGGCGCTGATTACTTTAGTAGTTCCAGCACCTGGTTCGTGATATCAACCAAGGGAAACTGTGTTCTGTTCCCTGCCAGAGTCCCCGGAACTTTCTCGTCAAGGAAGAATTCAGTGACCGAGTACAAGCTGCCTCCAATCTCCACGTTGTCCACCGAAAATCCATTTCGAGAGGCATACACGTTGGGAACTGTTCCTACCATCTCGGCACTAGTCCATAGTCTATCAGCTGAACGGAGAATAGCCGTTCCATCCGTGGTGTCAGAGACCAGCAATACTGTGCCGTTGAATTGCTTTGGTAGAAGGATCCCATCCAGACTATTGCCGATTCTGGTCACATTGCTGCCCTTCAGAGGTACGTGAATCTTGTGTCCCATTTCCTCTGTCATGTTAAAGCGGTACAGCTGTCCATCCGAGCCATCCGTACCAAGCAGGATGTCGCCCCGGGCAGCAAGTCCCGACAGGCCGGGAACAGTTTGGTTGGGCTGAGGCTGCAAGTACCAAGGAATGGCAGTTGAGCCATTGGGACCAACCTTGATGATGCTCGCTGGGAAAGTGCCCACTACGAAGGTGTTGCCGTGGGCATCATGGGCAGCGTCTTGGTAGCCGCCATAAACACCATTCGTTACTTCGGTGAGGTTCTTTCTCCAGAGGACCTGACCATGACGGGGATCAACTTTCACCAGGAAATTATCGCCTGAGATATCTTGGCCTTGAGTATCAAAGGCAGCGCCAGCATCGACGATGACTGAGAGTTGGCCTTGCGGGTCCACCACAACGCCACTCATGTGAAGCACCGGGTCTCCAGAGAGCCCTGGAAGATGGATATTATCCACTACTTCCCTCTTGTAAGGATCATAAACTGCGACCGTGCTATTGTAGAGGGCACTGCGGGTGTAACAATATACCATCAGTCTATGCCAAGTACTGAATAGCAGCTCTTATAGTAGGACGTACCTTAGGTAGACTAGACAGTCATCCTCATTGAAGTCAGCATGCTCCGGATACAATTGGTAGGCATTCACAGTGATGTTCCCTGTGAGAGTAGGGCATCCAGCCTTCGTAGCACCTGCGACAGTGTTAGCTTGTACATGGCAAGGGAAGCGATTACTTCTTCTGCAAAAGACTTCACAGGAGGCACATCGTAGCACTGCTTCAGAGCGCACATATATTGCGATTAGACTTACCGGAAGACGGAGTAGATACACTGGGCGCGTCATTACCGCTTGGGCTATGATTCCCGAGGTTGCCCAACACGTCCGCGCCTTGGATGTGATGAATACCTGGGCTGTATATAGGCGTATTATTGTAGGAACGCAACCGTCCACTTCTGAAAGCAGATGCTGGGATCCTAGCGTGTGTGGGGGCAAGATTGCACCCAAGTAGGAGTATTGAAAAGATGAATGATTGAAGTGACTCTCTCATGGTGGACATTGATTTGGGCAAATGGGTGAGGTATTGTCTTGAAAGCTGAGGATTTGTATAGAAAATTGGCCCGACCAAACCATACCAGGTCCAGCTTTATATGTGTGCCTGGCCAGAGGTCAAATACAATGAATTTATGGACTCGGTGTCGCAATTCCAATTCCAGACCATCCTCAAGGTTGAGCATGCAACACGCCAAGCAAGGAACCTAACCCATATTTGCTGCTGGGCACTAGCTACACTGCAAGACCGTGGATCTAGAAGCTTGGAAACCACTAGTTAATGTTTAGTTATCCTGGTTTTCAATATGTGACTAAGCGATTTACCTTCTCATGGCAAGGCTTGGGCGGCAATAGCTGCAAAAGACGGGAAGCCGAAGATTATGATACTACCATGTTTAGCTCCACTGTCCTGAACCTTTAGCGGTGGTGGATATGTATCTTACATCATCTTTCATGTTAGAGGAGGTTAGTCTCATTGAAGTGATAAAAGCTAGTGGAAGAGTACAGCCACCCTCAGTTGGGTCCATTGCTTTCTGGGTAAAGTAGATTCTTGACGTAGGCTGCCCTATTCGGCGGCTTGAGGCCAGGCTTTTCCAGACTCGGTATTCTTAACGTTGACAACAAAGTTAGATCTCAAGTGGATCTCATCAACTCAAAAAGTTCATGAAACAGAGTGTGGCTGAGGTTGCATGAGGGACCCACCGAATGCGCGAATCCTTATACTCTTCCATAAACGCAGGACTTTCGCTTACAGAGCACCCGCGGAATGAACCCGCACTGAAGTCCCGCTCACGCCGTCTGAGAAGCACTCCGAGTTCGGGTTACAAACACGCGTCAGTCGAACTTCTCAAGTCTATATCTTCACTTGGTGATCTTGATACGCTAAGAAGATACTGATGTCGCGTTTAAAACGCATATCCTCTAACAATGCCACGTTGACAGTAATAGGACGGCCCAAAGCTCTGAGGTAGTGATCGACATGAGGGATACACAGTAGCAATTTAGGGCTCCTCTGTTCTTTCCCTTTACTAGCCTTTAGCCCAGGACGATTGTCTCATTCAGTGTAGCTTGGTTAAAGCCCCTGTCTGTAGATCCTGTCATAAAATAGACCACTTATTGTGTACCAAGATCATCGCAAAGATAATTTTAGGCTTACTAGTGAAAGGTCGATACAACTTGGTAAGCGAAGGATTTCTCAAATTGGGATATTCCTTATTCTTCTGCTGTCTTCGCTTCGTAAGTTATACGGAATGGATTCTTTCATGAAGGCTTGTCCATAGGGACATCTACTAGTCGGTAAGATCAATGGTCCTGTGCTTCTAATACCCATAACACCCATAACTAGCTGAACTCACTCCTGGACAATCCTTTTTAGCTCACCCAGGGTGGCCCAAGCAATGTCAAATGCCAGTGCCTCCGTGCTGGAAATCAGAAGCTATGTTCGTGAGCTTTACCAATCGAGAGTCGCCTTTGCTGTCTTATAACTCGGGTATAGGATCTTTTCTGCGGCTCTGTGTAGGAGCGTCATGTTCCAGAAGTCCTTCACCTCAACCTGCGCAACGTTTGCCAGCCATATCTGGATGGTGTGGTCCTTTCCATGCTTTGCAGTCTTATCCAGCGCGGTCGTAGCTTGACCATCATCATTAGTCATGCTTAGATGCTGAACATATGGGAATAAGATGTTCAATCTCCATGGCTTTGCCAGACTCCATAGACCGACTGCAGATTATCCTAAAGTAGTGTTTAGGGCAGAGGTCGTAAAGCAGGGATATTGATCTTAACCATAAGGTGATACATGGGCCATCGCCCGACCAGTTCGGCTACAAAAAGCCACAAAGCATCAATGTACCGGGCGTCAAACTTTGGTTTCCCTGTTCAACCGGCACATATGCTGGTATTCGCTGATCAGAGTACACCAAATCAACCGTGTAGTACAATTACATAAAGCTCAATCTACATGATGGTTTTCATAGGGAAGCTACAAACTTTCGAGTGCCCCGTTCAAACGCTGCATCCCTTAAATCGGTATACACACGGACAGTACTGGTATTCCCAACCTGCTATTTAGTGCTGTTCATTTTCCTACTACAACAGTAGATCTGTCGTTTATTTCTCTATCTATCCCATCCTCTCATCTTGTGCTCGACGAGCTCTACTTTGCCCAGCTTTGATTATTGCAACATGAAGACCAGCGTTATTTCTCTAATAGCTCTCGCTGCAGTTGTCGCTGCTGCTGGTGTCCAACCAGGGGCTCACTCTAATACAAACGCCGTTCCCAACATTGTGGTCTCACCCCCAGGGGATGGCAACGGAGCGATTGACAACACTGTCAGGCCGAATGATAACAACCGGTTGGGACAGTATTGGATGCAATACGGTGTAAGTCAAGCTCTCTTGGCGAACATACATCCCGCAGCTAATACCTGAAAGATTTGCGATACCAGGACACGCAAGACCACTTGCAAAATCCAGTCGATCCCGTCTGGGAAGCGTTGGGTTGGCTACAAGTGTCGTAATAAGGTGAGAGTGCTTCCCAAGAAATTTGCTCCTCAATATATGTATTAATCCTGGAAGTGCACGGAGGGAACCTGTCGGATTGATTCGACGCAGCCTGGGGAGCCCGCGGATTGCAGCGTTCCCAAGCAACAATAAACCTTCTCCTGGTAGTGTCAGCCTATGAATCCGCGGCTGGGGAAATTGACTATCGGAAACTGTGTCTTGGGATATTGCCTTCTCGCGAATCTTACTTGTTGGGACAGTTATCACCTTTAATATCGTGCAATACCGTACCACTTGCAGCTTGGATGATTTGAAGTACTCGTAATACCGTTGGAGGGCATTCTTAAATCTGTAAGCAAGAGCTGTTGATCAAGAATCTGAAGTAGGCCTCACGGAAAAGGGGGTTTGATGATTGAGACTCTAGCATTGTCATGTTTCAGGCTGTTTCAGGCTACAATGATCTGACCTAGAGGTGTTTCATCATCGTGAACGCTCGCCGGAGTATACAACCACTGATAATTTCCAGGGTGTCTCTTCGAGCCGTTTGTGTGCCAATGGTATGAGTACGAACGCTGAATATCTCCAAATGGACGAGTCGGACTTGATACTGTAAGGTCGGCCGCTACTATGTCCGCTACTGTAGCCAGGGCTATACGAGAGGTAGTCTTTATGTTCGTAGTTTAGTGAAATTGCCTTACATATTTTACTGGCTTTCGCAAACCCAAATCTAGGGAGGATTGGATCCATGAATCTGGACATTGTTCCTCCTGTTGATGGCTCAATTGTCTCTAAGAGGTGATTGCCACCTTCATTATGCTGGTTCCCACGGTGGCCTCCAAGCCCTTGTACCTATATTCCTGTCAAATTATATTTGTCCTATAGGCGCCATCCCCACGACCGCATCGAAGTAACATCAACGGCAAGCAATCGACAGGCCATGGATATTACCATGTCATGACCTACAAGTCAACCACTCCTGCCAGACATCTTCCGGTATCGCTTTGCAGTCACGGATCGAAAGCGCTTTCCGTATATGGCCATGCCCAATAATGTCACGGTAACTCCCAGGCTGATAAACCCACAGGTGACGAACATCTTGGTCAAGCCGCTATGTTCCATCCAAGGACTGATGGCAAAGGGTATGCCAATGCTAAAAGCATTTCGAAGGAAAGCCACGCCCGTAAACGCATCACCTGTGATCTGTTCACGGGTTAGTGTGAATAGGCAGCGAGGGACAGTTCAAGATACGGCGAACCTCCATGTAACTATCGATGACGAGAGTTAGACATGCATCGCTGATACTGCCGAGCCCGAAGCCAAAGAGCGCACCACCAATACTGGGTAGAATCCAGTGCATGCCCTAAGTTCAATGCTAAGTATTAGAACTATGTGTCATGATAGAAGCGGAATAGTCGTGCAAAGTCAACAGCGATCACCCGCCAGGAACTAGAGAAGGGGGGCTCGTCTCTGCGAGACATACTTTGTCAATGGTTACTCCAAACATGATGAGACCACCACAGAGGGCAACTGCCGGGAGGTGTAGAATGTACAGGCGCATCTCTGGCTCGTAGTATCCGGAATTCCGCCGAGAGAAATATTTGATTGACCAGTCTCCAAGGAAGCCGCCGTAAAACGAGCCGATCAAATTACCGACAAACGGACCAACACTCATGTAACCGATTTGCTCCGGGGTGAACTCATATGGCGGAAGGGGAAATACGAGAGCGATCACGCTTGAAAGGATTGTAAGCCATATCACTCCGCATGCATACTGCAGACCACAACAGAGGACTGCAGGGAATGTGAAAAGGATTTCGATGGGGCGATAGAAATATGGCCAGATCGGCTCCGGTGTGTAAGTTACCAAGGACAGTCTCTCTCCCCATGTCTTCATAGGAATATTGTGATCTAATGGAGGGATGCTCGCCCTACGCTCCTGAACTCTGGTGGCATGTTTGAGAGGTGCCTTGTTGCCCGTCTCATCGGGTGGAATCTGCTGCGCAGGCCTAGCGGCAGGCGTGACTCCTTCAATGGTAGGGGTATACTTTGACTCTTCGTAGAAGACGATAAAAAGTACAAAGAGAACCGCATTGAAGATGCCCATAGTACGGTAGGACCATCGCCAACCCTGTCTTGTTGCTTGAGCCCCAGCAGCCATGGGGGTGAGAAAGCTCTAACACTATCTTAGTGCGGTGGATACAGGAGGGGATGAAGGGAGTCTCACCCCAATCATCATCATGGTCATGTATAGCGCATTCATGCCACCACGGTGATGCACAAAGAAGAGGTCTGCGATCTGATAGGAAGCGCTGTAAGCCCATGACGCTTGGGGAGTGGTGGCAGGATAGCTCACGGTAATCTGGACAATAGCTTCATTCGTTGCCCCAGCGAGGCCCTGTAGGAGGTTGGTAACATATAACTCTGCGAGGGTTTTGATTTCTGCTGCCCAAATGGAGGTGACGAGCATCAACGCGGTCGACACTAGGTACACAGGTCTTCGGCCAAACTTCTTCGCGAACGGAATGAAAAACACGCATCCGACCGCGAGTCCGACGAAGTTGACTGACATAGCATTGTTTAGCTGTGGGTAAGTAACGTGCAAATCGACCACCATCAACTGCCAGAAAATCTGTTGGATAGAGAGCCTACTCAGTGAAACCAGGTTAGGATTTCATTCATGCTAAATATTATGTGGTGGGACCACAGACGCTGTAAAAACGAGACAGGTTACTGCTAGTACGAGCGTGAAATTGCATGCCTTGCGTGCAGTGCTCCAATTCTGTATCCTCTATCAATGGACGACGTTTCTTTCCCGGAGGCTAGACTTACCAATGGCTCGTTAGGGTCACTGGACGGCAATGGACTGAGGACGATCTCTCGCCGTCCCTCAGCCTCGTCTCTGATATCATCTATATGCAGGTCAGAAAGACTTTGGTGAGGGAAAAAAGGAATTCGTACCTTTGATAAGAAGAACAGTTCCTGGGGGAGTATCATGATCGGGTAGAGAGATGTCGGACGCGTCGCCTCCTGCCATCAATATCTGCTGCGGAATAGACGTGGTATCTGCTGAAAGCTGAAGGGGTGTGCTGTTCAATCCCAGATTATCTCGAGGACAACCGCTTATGATAAACGATCTGGTCCATGGCTTTGCCGGTGGTTCTATCTCCCCCCCTTGCCACCAGGACATGGCTGATAAGAGCTCGATATCACAAACGCGCGCATTGGAATGCGGGGAAGCCAATAGAGATCTGGGTCCGATAGCGCCCCCCCCCCCAGCTTATGCACGTCTAGGCAGAGGTTAACAGAACTTACTTTGTGCAGGAACAGACCTCGGAAAGCTGGCACTGGGTCGACCTGCCTAAAGGGGAATCGGCTCAGCGATTTGTCTCCAATAAATCATCCTGAGGTATTCTTCCATTTGTTGTTTACGCCGAGTTCGCAAGGTTTGAGATAAATCGCAGTATCATGCGCCTTGATACAGGTTGGCGCGCTACTTCGGCATCTACGGTATACACGAAAGCCGTACTCGACTGATAAAGGCTTCTGCGTACAAGAAGATCGGTTCCAGGGAACGGTAACCTCGTGCACCAGTTATCAATTTCAGTCTTGAACCTCGGATCCGATGGCCAGCAAAGCCTCCTTGATCCTATACGAAACACAAGACGGTAGCTCATTTCCTTTCCATGGTATCCGAGACCATACTGGCGAACATAGTATACTTACTACTCTCCCATCTAGATCCGTCGTCCGTATCGGCGGTCGCTCAGACGATAACTCTTTCGTTCGTTGGAGATCCTCTCATCCGATGGTTGCGTCCTAGTGCAGCCCCCTGGTCGACGCAAGAGCATGAGACGAACAAATGGCAATATCGTCGTGTACAACAAGCAATATTAGAAGGCATCGTGCTCCGATCTACATCAGCGCCACAGCTGGCACAGGAATTTCCGGCATGTAGCCAGCAAAAGGGTCTCCCAGCCTCTATCGGCGAAATCAATTCTGGGCATGACGGGCCCGACGCGGGAACAGTGGCTTTATTATTTCCCCCAAAGAACCGACAAACCTGGAAATGGAACAAGATAGCCCTCGCCGTGAAACTGTGGTTTCTGAGCTGGTTAGATCCAGTCTCAGACAGCGGAGCAGACGAAAAGGTATGTGACTATCGTTCCACCCCTTTCAAGAGATCGAATTCGTTCTTCTAAGCCTTTGCAGCGCGTCGGAATCTTGCTCGATGCACATGACACGGCGCTGAAGCGGATCACAACCCGATACAATATTCCAGACCCTTGGTATTTAGAAGTCGTAGCAGTCCATCCCTCCCTCCAGGGGCGAGGTTTGGGCAAGATTATGATGGAGCGCATCTTGGACTATGTGGGCCATACGCCCATTGTTCTGGAATGTACAGCTGAGCAGAATTTGGGATTTTACACCACACTTGGGTTTGAAGTCGTCGAGAAGGTCGAGTTGGCCGACAATGGCGGAGCCGTCAGTTGCTGGTTTATGCTACGGCGAGCAACGCAGAAGGAAGATACCAGTTCACAGTAGCTACCAACGGCAGACGCGCTCAGCTAGAGAAGTCCAATCTCCATTCCACGAGCCAAAGCGAGTTCGTGGGCATTTGCCATGTCATGATGGTGTACCCACCACTCCTCAAGCACCTCTAATAATAGCTCGAAATCTCTCTCGAATCCATGTGGATGGCCATACGTGGATAGACAACATCGAAGCACATCTTTTAATTCAGGTTGCGCGTTGATGATGTCCGTCTGTAGCCCTGCGATAAAGGCGGGATATTTGATCGCGTTGAAAATCAACGACCCGGCGCCCTCTGTCTCCGTAAATGCTCTACGAATGGCGTCCAGGTGGCTCACAATTCGGGAGACGAGAACAGTAGTGGACGGTAAGGTCAGGCTGCTGGCACCGTTCGGTTGCACGGTCGATCCGGTTAATGTTCCATTGGGTTGTGGAACTAGAAGTAGGTGGTTATATCTGATAGCCAACAACCCGGCTAGTCGATATGCTTCCCACAGCTGGTGCTGCGATAGACTACCCGGGCTACCGGGCCAGTTCCAAAAGTCCTCCTCAGTAGCCCCGTGCCCGATACACGAGATAATATCTAACAACGACCTGGGCAGGCCACTGACCACCTCAACCTCGTCACTGAGGGGGTGCTGCAAGGAAGTCCCGTCGCGACAATGTTGTCGCCAGAAGCCGAGAGAGGTGCTTCGGCCAACAGTAAACGTTGGTAGATCCATGACTCCCATCACTTCCAATAAATGTGTCCGGAATTCTGTTCGCTCGCCAGGACCATATAATCCATGTGCCTGAAGGAGTCCGTACATTCCATGCAAGTGCATCGTCCATGGCATGGCATGCATAAGCTATAATATAACCTGCTGTTAGCGCGGCATAGAATATTGGTAGATACAACAACGTACCCCAATGCTGCAGAGCAGCAAGCCGGCCGTAAAGGTCCCATCCTTCAGGTATGTCACGTTGCTTGACAGCTCTGTGCGGAACAAATTCAAAGCTACATCGAAATGCTCATAAAAGCGAGGCTGCACATTTGGAGTGAGAGAAGCCTGGAGTGCTACACATATTGCGTATAAGGAGCTTGACTGTTGAGACAAGATCGGCAGCCTGGATTGGAGGAGATTCCGCGCATCGTTGACCGAGGTCGAATGGAGGACATTGATTCCGGACGAACAAAACTCTTGAAACAATCGATCTTGTTCGTTCAATCGTACGTCGGCAGTCTGTTCGGCTACTGTTTCTATCTTAGTCTAGAGCTATCAAGAAGAAAAACGCGACCGGTGCATGTCCAGCGACCTGCCCTACCTGGCTCGAGATGAGAGGAATTCGCCTTGGCCTTACCATTGGCGACTTTGGCAGGTTTTCGGCGCCTTTCTCGACTCAGATCGCGCCGTCTGCCCTTGACTCGAGGAGGAATAGAAGCCTCCACTGGCTCTTCGGCGCCTGTGAATCGGCCACGCGACGCAATGCCCGATCCCCACCGCAGCCTTATCTCGTATCCCTCACAGGGCACTCCACGGCTACTGCACGCTTTGCAGGCTGGTCGGGCTCGGTCGCATTTCCTCCTGACCCGTTTGCAGGTCCAACATCCGTTGTAAGACCGATGGCGCGGGGTCGACATGCCGAACAAGGAACTTGTAATGATCAGGATCAGTTGCGATCAAGAGATTCTGGCTTAAAACCGTGCAGGAAGCGAGGCAAGACAAGTATTGTGGGGCCGGCGATTATCGTCAAGTGTGGAGTCTCTTTTTATCAAGCCGCGTGGAATCCATTTGGACTTTTGCGTCCACCTTCCTGATCGGGTTTAGAACCTGAGGCCTCCACTTTTCGTCGTCCATCACGTTCAACTCGAGAACGTCTGCATATGGGGCTGCTGTATGGATGACTTGAAGAGATCGTCGGAGTTACTGTGGCTGTTATTAGCAGTCATCCCCATAACCATTAGCATCGAATAAATAGTGTGTAGTAGCGATCAGTATCAGCATGATGCTTACTAGCCAGATATATATATATCTCTAACCCTAAGTAACAACAAGCACCCAGCAACAGTATGTCATTCAAATCACCCGTCTCGAAATGCTCCATCATCCTCCCATCCCTCGGAAGACTGGAAGGCTTCGAATATGCCAATGGCGTGCAACAGTATTGTGGCATACCTTATGCTTCGCTTGAGAAACGGTGGACTCGATCGCAGTTGATGACGCAGTGGCCCAACAACTACCACGATGGAACAAAACTCGGGTATGACCACAGCTGAAGCTCTGGCGGAACTCAATGGCTGATTGCACACGCGTTGTAGAAGCGACTGTCCCCGACCGAAGATTGAAGGAGATGACTCGGACGATCTCGTACCGGTGCCTCCAACGGCGCATTTAGGAGAACCTCGAACGGACGAGTTGTCGGGACTCGTCATGAACATCGTCTTGCCGTGTGCCCCCGGATCGCAAAGGTTTCCGGTCATGGTGTACGTCCATGGGGGCTCATTGCTGTATGGAGGTGCGAACCTGCCGATCTTTGATGGCGTCAATCTCGTTTCCCTCAGTATGGAAATCGGTATGCCCATTGTCTACGTCAACTTCAACTATCGGGTCGGATTAGGTGGCTTTCTTGCCAGTGCCGCAATCCAGCAAGAGCTCCAGCAGGATGGCCATCAAGGCTGTGGGAACTTCGGATTCACTGACCAGCAAGTGGCCTTCGAATGGGTTCAACGTTACATTGGCGATCTCGGGGGCAATTCTGATCGGGTGACTGCGGTCGGAGAGTCTGCGGGCGGCATATCCATTAGCAATCAGATGTTAGCTGCTCGTCCTCCAGTATTTCACCGTGCGGTCTGCATGTCCGGGCTCTCTGTCTCGATTCCAGCCTGGTCAATAGAGCAACACGAGGAGCTGTTCCGGGCTGTCTGCCGTCATTTCGATATAGATCCATCACGATCAGACGTGCTGGACTGTCTGCGGCACATACCTCAGCAGGAACTAGCCAATGCAACGCCCATAATACAAGGTGTTTTGTCAGGGACAGGGAATCCATGCCTCGATGGTTGGTTTCATGAGCGGGATCCGCTTGAGATACACGAGCCACCGCAGTGGGTAGAAGCTTTGATGATAGGAGACACCTACCACGAAGGGATTATCTTCCACTTGAATCTACTGAACGACAATTTTGCAAGTATTCGAGAGATACTAAATCAACACATGCCCCTGGATGAAACGGATAAAGTCTTAGCTGAGTATGAGATACAACCGGACCTACCTCAGGATGTCCTCCTCAGCCGGGTTGAACACATGTGCGGTGATGCAATTTTCAAGATTCCCAACTATGCTACAGTGGTTGCCAGTGTCCCTTCTGCGCAGGAAAAAGCTGTGTTTGCATATCACTTTGACCAGCGTTCACGATTGAGAAACGCACTTGAGGGGACCGCGTATCACGCCCATGAACTTCTTTATCTGTTTGGCAACTTGGACAATGAGCTCTCTCGCGAAGAGCGGGAGATGGCGAGGAATTTTGCTGAAGCTTGGATCAGATTCACGTACAGCTATTCACCCTGGGAAGGCTCGGAACGACACTGGAAAGTATGGGGTCCCGAGTCAATCCAAGCTGTAAAAAGTGAAGAGGATGACGAGGAAGCTCGGTCATACTCGCGTATGAAAAGGCTTCTGGCGATGGATAATGGAGATACTTGGAGACGATGGCTCAACGGAGTAGACGCCTTGGTCAACAAGCGTATGAATTTGGGGAAGAACTATAGTTCATAGTGTTTGAATCGAGGTGCCCAACCGAGACAGTATTCATCATAGCACACATGCAGTCATTTTTTATCCCGTCTGAAGTCAGACTGCGACTTGCAGTATGTACAAATATATGCTGATCTACATTGTCTCCTCGATATTGGAAAAGATAATCAAATAATATTCATTTCAGACCGTGTCTGGGTACAGCAGTTAATTGGTAACTTAGAGACGCCATCTGTATCTGGTATGCTAATGTTCCATGCACCAGGGTTACAGATTTGAGGCCCGGTCACCGACGGCTCGTGTCAGCCCTGCTTTCTTCAGTCTCTCTTCAGTTAGCAGCATCTGCTCTGGGAACCAAGACAGATAATCAGATCTCACATGGTGCGTTCGGCCGCTGGCCAACAACATCTGTGCCACTGCTGTTCCACTTAGCCAGGCTTGCACCATACCTTCTCCACTAAATCCGCAGCAGGCCCACTGAGCACCACTCTCCTTTGTTGCTTCTGCACTATAACCCACAGACGAAGGTAGCTGTCCAACCCATGGAAGGCCATCGCTACTAAATCCCATGTTTCCCGTCCACATCTGCTCCACGCAAGGACCGTCAACCTGACCCCAATTTTCATGGCCGAACACCGCACTCAACGCACCGGACAGGTGAATATCACAAGGCAGGCTCAGCTCTGAGTCAGTTGCGATACCCAAATCGCCAAGCCCACCGTTGCGACCTTGAGCAAAGCCACCACCCAGCATCATCTTTTTACCTGAGTCTCCTCCAGGGGGTAATTGTGTCAGGTAGTCGAAACCACGGTCGTAGTTAAAGAGCCACGAATGTTCTGTAGCTTGACAGATAAAAGTGGAGCCCGGGTTTTGGGCAGACATTTGCCCTCGAACTGGGTAAACGTGGCCCCTTAGCTCGGGGACAAGATGTCCAACATGAGCATTCGTACAGTGGATAACATGTCGAGCATGCAGGGTTCCTCTCGGTGTCTCTACGGTATACCGCAAAGGTGAGGTGCCATCGGTCGAGACTTTGGTCGCTGGTGTGTTGGTTTCGAGTAGGAAGTTTGCTGGATGCTTTTGTCGCAACCTTTCTAACAACCCGGTGACCAGTTTATAAGGCCATAGGGCTCCGGCTGGTCCTGCGACAACCCCAATGGCATGAGGGAGGCACCATTCCTGAGATCTATTGTCAACCTCCAAGCAGTATTGTAGCAGTATATGGAAGTAACAAACCTTGGGGACCTCGCTCTTGTCAAGAAGTTTCCACTCGGCTGATTCTGCAGGCATACATGTTTTGAACCGTGTGATACATTGCACTGCTTGACGCCATCTTTCCTCGTCGAAGTGCACACTGAGAAACTCGACCTTTCGAGCCTGGGTTTCTTTTGTCAATCCATACTTGTCCGCTACCTGCAATATCGACTTCAGATGGGCCAGCCGGAACCGTGTCAATGCCTTTGCCGCTTCCAGCCCATAGAGGGCTTCCCAGTCAGTAAACTCTTCAGCTGTCTCCAGAATATGGCCTCCATTGCGACCCGTCGCGCCAGTGCAAGTGTCTCGTGCCTCCAGCATGACAACTGCGGGTCTCGTATTGATCACTGCAAGCTGATCATTTTCCTCCAACAGGGTGCGTGCAATTGAAGCACCTGTAATGCCGGAACCAATAATTACAACATCAGCCTCTTGAGGTAATTCCCGTGATTGCATACTGGCCAGCTCCGGGTGTGGATCTTTCAGCCAAAACGATGAAGTGCTCTCGCCGAGTGGCCCTGGTATTCCTGGATCGGCGAGAACACGGTGAAGGGCATCCTGCCTGTCCTTGAGGGGAATGCCGGGGTCGGTGAGGAGGGCCTGTACGAATGCCATAATAAAAAGTCCTGAAAATAGGGACCACAGAAAATGATGCAGACTCAGTAGAAGCCGCGGAGAAGAGGTAAGCCCCAGTATATCATATGGAGAACGATGTTGTATATTTCGTCTCTCGTACTCAAATCCCATATCTACTCTCGGACCATTCACAGCGGCTCGCGAACACCGCGGCAGTGTAACGGCATCTCATTTTGGAGTAATACTATCGGTCGAGATACTTCACCGTCCGCTATCTAGCGTCAACCTGCCTGTCTGGACATGTTGGTACTCCAAGTGGGGTGAAGAGCCCAGCTGCCGCCCATCGCTGCCGGGGCATATTATAGGCGTCGACCTTCCGCTTATAGCTAGTGAAGATCTCGTATGGATTGATATCGGCATTATGCAATGTGCCAAACATCCACGTCACTGCAGGCGCCCTCGACAAGTGTATAAAATCGGAGATTAAGAGAAGGGGTTAAGAATTCAATATCACCATTTTTGACTTCGATTCAAAGGATCTGTCAAGAGCAGCTACAATGACTTTATCAAAGCCCGCGGACTCCCCTGGCAATTCCTTCTACCCCAATAGCCCACCCATGCGGCGTCCAGGGCTGTCATTTGTTTATCGTCTAGAATGCAACATTGATCCTGAGGAAATTAACGTCGGGGCGCCTCATGGGGCTGGAGTGGCGCGAAGTATTGCGAATATTGTCGGCGGTAGCTTTAGAGGACCGTCGATATCAGGGATAGTCCTTCCAGGCGGAGCAGACTGGGCAACGGTCATTGAAGGGACCCACGTAAGTAAACTTATCATACTCCAGGATCCACCCAGTGAAGCTCATACGATCTTTCAGTCCATGACTCTTGATGCACATTACACGATAAAAACCGACGATGGCTGTTATCTTTACGTCCGAGCACATGGTCTCTACCGTCCTGGCCCGGGCACAGAGTACGCGAACCAGGTCGAGAAGGACCCAGCCCTACGACCCCCTCCCACTGTGACCCAAGACGATGTGGAGTTCTTTTCACACCTGCGAATCGAAACCGGACCAGGAAAGTACAATTGGTTGAACGGCTTAGTGTGTGTTGGAGTGATGAGCTGTGAGAATGATCGCATCCTGATCGATGCCTATCACTTGACCAATTTCGAGGGTTCTGAGCCAGAGGACGTGATGGCACGTAGGAACGCCTGTTAAGCAATAGACCACTATCAGGAATCAACTTCCAACGCGTTATCAAGAATTGCCTTCGCATCTCCTCAGATAAGCTAGTAATCGATAAACCGAGGTATAACCATCCTAATGTGGAAGGTAGACGCGCCTCAGCCGGCAGAGCATTGTAAACGTCTCCTCACGCGGAGCAACTTGGCACTAGGGCCATTCGGATATATAGATTGGCTTGGCCCGACGCATGTACCTTCACGTCCCTCACATTGACTAACAGAGATGACTGGAATGACGGCAACAGAGAACAACTGGGAGGCCAAGGTGGCGGAGAAGCGCAAACAATTGGAACTACAGATTCCCCAAGCTTGGCGTTTGAATGCCACATTTTTATCCAAGCTCCCATCAAATGGCCACCTCCTAGAGGTGGATATCCCACGCCACAGTGGACTCCTCACAGAGGAGGAGCTGGACATCACAGAAGAGTACACTGCGACACAGCTGCTGCAAAAGCTTGCCTGGGGCGAGGTAACCTCGCTGGCAGTCACTACGGCTTTTTGCAAACGCGCAGCCATAGCCCAGCAACTAGTAAGTACAATTGGCCCGGTTACTGTCGTGTAGGTGACACATAATAATACTGGCGTCTTAAAGACCTCATGCTTGACAGAATACTTTTTCGACAGAGCGCTTGAGCGTGCTCAATACCTGGATGATTATCTGAAGCGAGAAAAACGGGTCATGGGCCCGTTACACGGCTTACCGATCAGTCTCAAAGATAGCTTCTGCGTCAAGGGCGTTCTGAGTACGGTGGGATATGTCTCATTCTTAGATAACTCGCCTGCAGAAACCAACTCTGCTCTGGTCGATCTGCTGCTTGACTTAGGTGCAGTTCTTTATGTCAAGACCAATATTCCGCAGACAATGATGGTCAGTGCATCTCCAGAGTCCTCAACTGGCTTATCTAACGTTCTATGCTTAGACGGGCGATTCAGACAATAATATCTACGGTCGTACATTAAACCCGCACAATATAAGCCTGACCGCCGGAGGCTCCTCCGGTGGTGAAGGAGCTCTCGTTGCCTTCCGGGGCTCGATCCTCGGCATCGGAACTGATATCGCAGGCTCAATCAGAATTCCGTCGCTGTGTTGCGGTGTTTATGGATTCAAACCCACCGCAGATCGCATTCCGTTCGGTGGACAGGTGTCCGGGGCAATTGAGGGAGTCCCCGGCATAAAGCCAGCGGCCGGACCACTGGCTCAGTCGTTGGATGACATTGAGATGTTCATGTCAACTGTGCTCAAAGCTGAGCCCTGGCGATATGACGTGACTGCAATTGGGTCACCCTGGGTGACGACACTCAACTTGCCCTCATTATTAACGATCGGAGTCCTCGGTGAAGATCCTCAATTCCCAATTCATCCTCCTGTCCGCCGCGCAATGGAGTCAGCAATCGCGGCACTAGGCAAGAAAGGACACAGAATAGTGCGCCTGGAACATGACCCTTCACGGGGCGTGGCATATGCGAGTCGTCTAGCCTTTCAGTATTTCACGTATGGGCCACATATCGATCATATCGAAGCCAGTGGGGAGCCGTTGGTGGCATCAGTGGCAAAGTTAGCTAATCCAATGTTCACTGGGCCATTTCCTGTGGATCAGGAAGGAGCCTTTGAGAAAATTGAGGCACTCTATAACGCACGAAAGGATTATGCTGAAGCATGGCGCAGGACATGGGTCCAATACGGCATAGATGTTCTTCTAACACCTGGAGCCCAGAATACGGCCACGCCGCACGACACATATGGATGGCCACCGTACACGGTCATCTGGAACCTTCTGGATGTGAGTTCATAACTATGTACGCTGAACACCTCCCTCTAACTCTTTCCAGTATCCTGCATGCATTGTGCCGTACAGCAAAGCTTCGAAGGTGCTTGATCCAGATCCTATGCCAGTACATGATGGAGTTCAGCCGAGCTGTAGGTTTCCACCACACAGGCCAGCAGACAATTATTATCCTAACTTATTCTAGATGAACCTGACTCCGTTGATGGAGCCCCATGTGCTCTTCAAATCGTAACGCCCCGGCACCAAGATGAGAAATGCCTTCTCTTTTCCAGGCTGATCGACAGAGACATCCGTTAACTCGCTAGCCTTTTAACGGATGTCATGAGTGATCAGATGTTGCAACAGGAGCCAGGAATACAATAGTGTCTACACACAGTCTCTCTGTCAGATAATGTACATACATTAAAAATGCACCGTATTATCATTGTGTGGGCATACTAGTAAATGCATGCCACAGTCCGTCATCACAGGGCTCATTTATCTCGGTGGGCTATCCCCGTTTGATCTTTGTCGGAAAGACGCAGGACGAACCTTGAGTGTAATCTGCGCCGCATTGGGTGGTCCTATGCATAGTTTTGCTAAGCCCAACCCCGGAAAAGAGACTCTGTGGGTGATTTGAAAGCTGTCGGCCGACTCTTCGTGCCCCGATGTTGCCGCAAATACCAATCCCTAACGGTCTCATTGTGCCATTCAGAGCTGCCTTATGCCAATGTGACAGCACTCCCCATATCACGGAGCTTGTCATCTCGGTCACAACTAGTGCAAGCTGACTATGTTGCGGGAAACAAGTGATGCATGAAACTTGCAGCACAGCATAGGCCTGTTCTATCTCGATATGTGGCTCATGGACGAGAAGCCTTGATAGAGGTTACGCCCTTTGGATCGCGTTTTTCTTCTTCGGGCGGGTAGTGTTCCCGTCCGAAGTTGGGGCGAGTCGGGCGCCTTCATCCGATGATCTCGGTCGTGTCGTCGCTGTGGTCTTTGTCGGGATTGCTTTGAGCATTGAAGAGCTCTATATTGGGTGGCTGCTCCGGGAGCTGCGTCTTCCGTGTGGTCTTGGAGGTCCTCTGGGATTGGTTCGAGGATGGTGTGGGCATTCCAGGTGACTTTGAGATGACGCGCGCAGACTTCTTAGCAGGCGATGCTGCTCTTTTGGCTTCCTTTGACAAGGTCCGATCGACAGAATTCATGCTACCCATGGGTAGGAGAAACAGCCGGTAAGCTGCAGCGCATGCCAAGTAAAATTCAGGTAATCTAGAAATATCGAATGTGCGCTCCCGTAACGAGCATGCCGTGAGATAGAGGCCCTTTCCAAGCAACATAGCCAAAATTACTTGAATGCTCGACACAGAATCCCACATCCGACACACACGTTCTATGCAGTCAATAATGCAGGCAAGCTTGGTTTCATAGTAGGGAAAGTGGCGATAACAGGCCTGTAACAGCAAGCGACCCCAGGCAAAGGGAACTCTTGTTTGACAATCATACTCGAATATATCTTGTGCGGTAGGGTTGGTGAACTTCTGCCATCCTTTGCGAAGGCACGCCTGGCAAGCATTGCTATCAAGATGGTGTCTGGTATCTTCAATGGCCGTACAGTGAAAAAAGCCCGAACACTCGTCAACAAATACATTCAGCCGGTTAACCCAGAATGGCCCAAGGTTCCCATCGTCGTTATACGGATCCTTTTTAAGCCACCGCGACCAAGAATCCAGGATATCCTGTCCATGCGCCGCCGTGCCCAAAAAGTACTCCCTGTGTTCCACTCTGCAGAAACAGTTGGGTTTGCACCGCAAATTTCGGAGTTCGGCGTGTGCTAGTTTCTCGAGGAGTCTGTAGTCTCGCAATGCAGGACTTTGTTTGGCGCTCCACTTCCGTAGCTGACATTGATTCTGATGCTGTTGGGTGCGCACTTTCACATTTCCAGAGTGTCCAATTTTATAGTAAGGGCTCTGGGCGGATGGATCATGGAAAATGTATGCATATCCTTTCTTGGATTCTCTCTCTTGGGCCCCGCTCCACCCGCAGATTACATCGCGGATAGCGAGTATAATATCCTCAGTGCTATACGAATCTGAGATACGTTCCGGCCCAATTTGCCGGTGCTCTAATCCATGATCGGAAACGTCCGTCCTTGGCGTCTCTTGCTGACTTACTAAAGAGAATGGGGACTCTGATCCATGCATTTCAAGGTCTGATGAATCAGCTGAGTCAGTTTGCGCAAGATTTGCAGACGTCAAATCGGGGACTAGCCCATTGGTTTGGGCTTGACCGGTCGTCGTTGGAACATCCACATGTGTCGCCGCTAAAGATACCCCATCATCCGGCTCGTCGTCCAAGATTTCTATATAGGGCGCATTTGACGGAATCCATGCCGGTCGTTCCGGGGAGGTCTGACTAGAACCTGACATGGAGTTTGAACCATTGAGTGCCTTCGTTCCTCGGGAGCAATACTCCAAGAGCGATCGCTGTGGGTTTCGGTTCAAATTCTCTTTAGTCCCTTCACGAAGGTAGGCTTGTACTGTCTGGTTTCTGGGTGGGATAGACGCGGGTGGTGATTGACTCTGTCGCGACCGCTCTCTCGCTTGCCGTCGAGCCACTGCAGCTCGCGTAGGACTCTCGTCCACAGGATGAGCAATGGAGTCGCTTTCATCGTCCGAGGACTTTCCGATCAGATCTGGGGAAAGGCCAGGGAACCGTCCAACCATATTGGAGTGCGGATCGGAGCGCAACGGAGTGGAGAAGGCCATTTGTCGATTAAGCAGTATCCCGCGATGCGTAAATTAGCAACTTACTAGTAGTATCACCACGACAACGGCATATCGGTGCTTATTATATCCACGAAGCGACCAGCCGCACGTAATTCCCAGAAGACCCTATATTGTAGCCTAGTCAGGGCCCTGCTCTGCTAGCAGGCTGTGCCGTTCACGGACCTTGCGTGATAGCAAGGGTCCTGGCATGTTTACTGGCAGGATATGGCCTGGAGCATGGTTGTCGAGATCACGGGGCAGTAGTTCAGACACTGGTCGCATATTGTTGCATGCGCACTTTGCCTGTTCGGAGCCCCGGCGCATATGCTGCATTGACTCGCTGTGGCTGAGCTTTGGGATGTCACAACACGAAGAACAAACAGCAGTGCAATTGGCGAGATCAACAAGTCCTTGATGCTAGACCCGAACAGGCACGTTTGCGAGTCATGCTCTGTTTGCAACATTTGTCTTTCACGGGAGCCTGAGGCAATAGGAAGTTTTCCGTCTCACACCCTTTTAGTTGTTCTGTCCGCCTTTTGGTTGATTACCCTATTTTTAGTTCTTCTCCTCTTCTGTTCTTTCTTTCTTTTTTTTTTTTCATTTTCTTGTTGCTCAACTCCTGTCAGTCTCGATACGAAAGGTAAGAAATATAGCACACCTCCGACTGGACAAGAGACAAATATGGTTAAAGTATGTAAGGTTACCCTATACCTGACTAGTTCTCTATTTCCTTTTTTTTACCCGTTTTCCATACTTTGTCGTTACTTTTCTTTTTATTCCTTTTTTTCCCTTTCCCCAGTTTCAGGGTCAACTTCCAGCCACCGGGAACGAGGTAGGGCTCAGCCACACTGTGACTGGACCCTTGGGTCGAATCTCGGTTCTCGATCCGCCAAGCGCTTTAATCGGATCCACAAGCAGAAATCTCCCTAGTAGTACCGACGGTCACTATGGAGTACTTCAACTAAAGTATTAGGAATTACTATCAGCAGAAAGAAAGATCGGGATCACCCGGTCCCATCCGAATAGATGTACACAAAAAACTTCTGATACGCCGTCAGGGCAAGTGGATCTCTTCAGGGTCGTCTCCATTGCCAAATATGTATTTCTAATGCAGTTCTATTTACATCGCTCATGGTTTCGTCGTGGAACCATATCTCGTAAGGGAAAAGGCTGGTGTCACCGGACAACCACGCCGCGGGATGTAACATAACCACGGAAGGTCTCCGATATCAGTGCGACCAGTTGGAACCTATCACAATTGCCACGCTGCTGCGAGGAGGGGTCTCCATCGTGCGATCAGAGGGGCCCACGGCAACAAGGGAAGGTCCCCGCGAGAATTTAGTTAACCCAGGAGTAACTAAGCACGGGAACCTCAAAGGGCTCGGCAGTACAAGTCGCATTGAAGAACTCATCATGCACGCAGTTCAAGGTGAAATCGGTGCTGCCGGAGTAGGTAATCTTGCTACCATTGGCACACTCCAGCGCATGGCCACCGCCCAACACGTAGTCCATATGACCAGTCGATGTCGCCTCGTTAGAGCTGCCGTAGAACGAGACGATCCGGCCCAGGCTGCGGTCTGCATATCCGCAGTTGGACTCACCATGTGCAATGTCGTGAATCCGGTAGCCGATGTAGGTATCACCGCAGTGCAGGCCATCCTCAAAATCGATCGCCAGTGTCTGGGGAGGGCCGTAGCCCCAGGGCTGGTAGTTGGGCATGCCTGTATAGCACACGTTGACCATGGTGCCATTGCACGTGTCCGGGTTGGGCTCGCACCAGTCCCGGCCACAGAGACAGCCCTTTGCATTCTTGTCGACCTCGCTGTGGATGCAATCCAAGCTATGGGAGCCATTGAACCAGTGGAAGTTGTCGACCGTCCATGTCGGAATGGGACATCCTTCGGGAGGGGTGATAGAGCGAGGAGTGAGGGATCGCGTCTCGACAGACCGAGCGGTCGCCGAGGCGGAGAATGCCAACAGGCTGGTTAAGATGGTCGAGAACATGGTTCAGCGAGGGTGGTGACTTGAGAGGAGTGAGAGGCGGCGCAGGATGAGAGTCTGTGGTGAGCGATCAGGGCACCTTTTATAGACATCCATGGTAGCATTGAATCTTCCGCGACGAAAATCTAGAGGTCGAGAGCGAGTGGCTCGAGCGAGTGGGCTGAATTTTGCGGGATGCAAGTCAGCCCGCTGGACCCTCTCCCGCTGAGACCGAACGAATAAATGAAAAGGGGCGCGAGACAGTTGTCTTTGGGTCGCCCAAACCATTGGCGCGACCGCGGCGAATGCCGGGTCTTGGCAGTGGGATCACATCTGGTCCATCAGCACCAAGCTTGGTCACAATTATCTCAGCATCGCCAACACCTTCACGTCCTGCACCGAGACTCCAAACTGAACTCCAATACGAGGTCCATGCCGTGACATCCGTCTAGCTGCAGTAGCGGCGGGATTGTCGTTCGATGCAACGACCATATTCCCGAAGAGACTGAGTGTTACAGGTTCATTCTAAATTTAGCGCCAGGTCTCTGAGCTGCAGCATGCGGCCTGTTAACCCTGTGGTGCAAACCTCCGTCTGGCACAAACCACCCGTAACATCGTGTGGCTACAGTTGGGGCATTGGGTCTGCCACATTCCGCCATGAGATGAGAAGAGCCCTCTGAAGTCATTCGAACCGGTCTGCGATTGGTTTCTCTCCTGAAGTAGATCTGAATGGGTATCCTCCAGTGACGTTCCGCGGTGGGAGTATCAGACAGGGAAACTTCTCGCCGTGGCCAGGCAATTGTTCGCTCGGAGCTCGCAACCTATTATCCTTGGCTGCCCTGCGTACGGACGATAGCCAAGGATCCAGACTGACTAATCAGTCCTGGTTCGAAGTGCTTCTGAAGCAAAGCAACGATTTCTTTCAAACGACGGGCTTGCGCTGCCAGGGACAGTGACGTCATGATTCATCATGTCAGGCAACCCTAAGAAGAGGAAGCGACTCTTCTTCTCCCTCTTCTACTTCCTATTTTCCTTCTCTTCTGTCGCCTTCCCCCTTTTGGCTTTGCTTTTCTGATGTGCGACCGGGGTAGTTTAGTACAGTCTCACGCTCACCATTCACTCGCAGGCAATCCTGCCCTAGGGACATTTCTGGTACGTCCGAACCTTTCACCAGGCGAACTGTCCCACCGATCGCTCATTGTACGAGAAGTGTGGACACAGCTAGACCAGATACTATGCAGGCATCCGAGTGTCAAGTTTTAGAGAAGGGGCGCAATACTGACACGGAGATCCAACGAAGTAGTGGTCGACCAAAGCATCTATCTAGTCAGGCTCTCTTGACGGGGAACGACACGCCAGATGGAGGAACAGAATTTCCATCGTGATCTGCTCCATGATCTACTGAAAGTGATGCGATCGCTGGACGAGTCGCATGCCAAAGGCCTATTTGATTTGCTGCGAGCGGATTCGTCCGTAGAACAACTTCGGTCTTACATTGACAGGACGTTAGATGAACTCCAGGGCTTCGATCACAATGACGAAACCATCAGTAGTTTTGAATGTCTCCGGAAGAGGCTGGATGTGCCTAGTGGAGCGCCACCGTCTCGGCCGACGGTTATGGATCTTAATTATCTGTGTGATATAACACCCTTCCGCGTCCCCGCCAAGCCCTGGACGATGGTGACGAACGACGACAATCTAGTGTCCCATCTAGTATCTCTGTATTTTACGTGGGACTATCCCTTCTATGCTTTCGTTGATCAAAAAGCGTTCATTCGCCATATGACCCTCGGAAACGTCGACTCCGACCTTTGTAGCCCGTTCCTCGTCAACGCTCTTCTCGCAAACGCATGCGTAGGGACTCTTTTGCTCCTCTCCCTGGCATGTGACGGATGATACTAACGTCACGACATGGAACAGTATTATTCGCAGTACTCTGAAGCGTACGTGGTGCCGGGGGACGTTGCCAGCAAAGGACGCAATTTCCTGGCCGAGGCGGAACGATATCTCCCAAGCCATCAACTAGAAAAGGGTGGCGGGATCCGGCTGGCGTCATTGCAAGGGGCATTGCTCCTATATGAAAGGTAGGTGGCCATTCCCCCTTGCGAGAAGGATGCGGAGGGTAAACGTGACCGTCCATTGTATGGGCACCAGATACGCCATGTCGGGAGAGGACGATCTCGGCTATACGATGCTCAATATTGCGATCGAGATGGCGGAGGCACTGGGCATCATCAACCGGGAGCCGCTCAATCTCAGCAAATTGCAGCTGTCCGACGAAATGATCACCTCGGTGCAGCGAACGGCGTGGGGGGTATTCCAGGTCGACACGTAGGTCCCGCCCACCTCATGGTTGTCGGTGTTTCCCAGCCCTTTTGAACCCGCGACACTAATGTCGCCGCGACCACAGGGTAGTTCATACCAACTTTTTGAAGCCGAGCCGGGTCTCCAGCGTTAGTCTCGACCGTATTGACCCGAACGAGACCGGTGCCGGGGAGCTCTGGGTTCCGTATCCGACCGACAAAAGGCCCCGACAGTCATGGCTCGGCCAATATTTCGATGAAGCCTGCAAGCTCTCGTATCTTGCCCGTGATATATCGCGCCATCTCTACCATGAGACCACCACCGGGACGGATCAATTTCGACAGAAACAAGTGTTCTTCAATAAGCTCCGCCAGTGGGAGCGTGCCCTCCCCGATAACTTCCAGGTGTTTAAGAGACCCCCGCCGCATGTGCTCCTGCTAAGGTTCGTCGCTCGTCTGTCACCCCTGCCCTCACCGTTTACTGAACCGGTGAACTGCTGGCTTTAGGATGCGGTATCATGTACTCATTATTGGCCTGGCACGGGATGGCTTCGGCGTCCAGTCATTCTTCCTGGGGTCCCAGGAGCAACAACGCACAATGGATGAATCCGCCAACGCAATCAGTCTGGCATCCGCACGGGAGATTTCGGCTCTGGCACGGATTCATCGGGAGGAATATGGTATGGAGCGCGCCCATCAGTTCGCTACCTATGCGATGATGCTTGCGCTCTTCACCATGCTCGACGACCCTTCCTTTGACGTCCTCAGCCACGACTTCCTATCGCTCACGAGTGCATTCTCCATCACAGCCAGTCGGTCCCAAGTGGGCCGTTATCTGTTCCACATCTTCCGCCAGTCTGTTCGATCTCGAAACCAAGAGGAGCGGGTCCTGCAGTCGGACGCAGTCTCGGACGAGGTGAAGGAGCTCTTTGGACGTCACTCTTGGTCCCAGTTACCGGATCGATGGGGCGACTATGCCGACGGACTCGAACGGTATCGGGGAAGCTTCTCGAGCGGGTCATGGAACTACACGGCCTCCGGGGTCCGTGACATGCTGGAAATGTACGAACGGCTGAGTCTGGGGAACCGCGACAGTTCCCGCTCGCGTCGGCCGTCCTCGCTCAACGCCGGCTGGGAGCCTTGATCGATTCTTCTGATGCCTCTGTAGTCGTCCCCTTTCTCCCTTGCCCATGGTTCATCCGTAGTCACATTGATCGGTCCTCCATGGTGTGCCATCCCTGAGCAACCTAGGCTTTGCCTGTACAGACATGTATCCCCGCACGCATCGTTTGGCTAGCGATTGTGCTACTCCTTGTTTGTTGACTGCCGTTGTACATTAGCCCCTCGCATTCTAGGCATCTCAATGATACGACGTGATGACACGGTCATGATTTGATTTGACTATGTCTGTATGTTTCGTAGTGGTCCGGCTCACTGTAGGTACACTTGCCATCATGGCGTATCTGTAGAAATTGATCAGGTGCACTCCGTGTGATCTCCCGAGGGATACAGCACGTGACTGCCAGAATAGGAAAGAGCAACAGATATCCATCCATCCTGCAAGTACTCTAGACCACGAACAGCATGATCATACCCATTAATCAAGCATACTGCGTGACGACTACATTGAGTTCCTGTTGGTTTCATCCATGATGTTCCATCTAGTGACTTATTGAGGGCTACGTTTTAATGATTGATCTATTTACACATGCGATACTGGTATGCTACAGACAGAGATATATATATCTATGGATAGTGGATTCGTACCCCTTGATATAGGTCTCCGGATACTATGTACATAAATACCCGAGAGTGATACTCTGCCACGGCACTTCAAACGATGATTAACGGTGTCTGATTGCTCAGTCCATCTGTTGAGATGCTCCGCTAAGCAATGATGTTCCCGTGGTTGTGCACGAGTTGATTATCATTATCTCGGAGATCCCGTCGGGCAGATCATCAGCCACGGGGCGGAAAATCTTCCGAATGCCGAAGAAAACAGAAAAACCAGAATGAATGACGTCAAGGACATCAAGCTTCGCCCCGCAAACAGTCGAAGATTGAAAACGTGCCAAACAACTGTTGAACATGTCGGAGATGGAATTCTTCCACCACAGACGGAATGTTCACGCACGAACTTTCCTGGAGATCTGTGAAAAACCATCCCCCCTGAGAAACAAAAAAGTCAGAAAAAAAAGGGACGGTAGTTGGGAGGCGAAAAAGAGAGACCATCCCGACTCCCAGTGGGTCTGGAACGGATAAGTCGGCAGGAACAACAGAAAAATAGGTAACAGAATAATTGAAGCTTCGTGAGGGTTCCTCATTTCGAATCATTTCTAAGCCACAGGCAGGAACTTTCGTCATACTCTCCAGGAGGAAAAATTTTTTTTAGTTCGTTCTGGTTTATTTATCTTCTGGCCGTCGGGCGGATTTGGTGCATGTCAAGCGTGACAACCGAACTCCCTCGCTCTCTTACCAGCGGTCAGGATGGTCTATGATCGGAATGGGGACACGGCCATGGGCCAGAGCAAAGAACGACTGGAGTCGTCCGAATACGCCGAGAGACCCCCAACTTCCGATACAACCGATTCGACCTCCACCACCAGCTCGGTGGATTATGACCCTCAGTTGCATACCCTGCGTTCGCGCGCCACCGAGGTTGATCTCGAACGCCATACAACCAGGGCCTCGGATGCCTTGAGCCGTATTCACACCCAGCGACTCCAACATGCCCTCACCGTCGGCGAAAGCGTGAAATCACATCCCTCCAGGGCCCCATTGCCCCCATTTGGCGCCGGAAAGCCCTATCCGCCCCTCCTACCGGCGCGAGAGGACTACGTGGTGGAGTTCGACGGGAAAGATGATCCCCTATACCCCCAGAACTGGCCCTTGAAGAGAAAGTAGGTGATGGATCCTCCCCTGGTTCAACCGCGGTTCCTGTGCTCAACGGTCCATGTGCTTTTCTAGGGTCTATATCAGTGCCATCCTCGCCTTCACCAGTATTTGTTCGACCTTCGATTCCGCCGTCTTCAGCGCCTCCACCAAAAATGTCGCAAAAGCGTTCGGGGTCGGTCTCGAAGTCTCCACCCTGTCGAGTTCCTTGTACATCATCGGTTATGCGTCCGGACCCTTGATCTGGGCTCCCATGTCGGAACTGCAAGGCCGTCGCTTACCCATCGTCATTGCCATGTTCGGATTCGGCATCTTTAATATCGCCGTCGCCGTCGCCAAGGACCTGCAAACCCTGATGATCTGCCGTTTCTTCTGTGGTATTTTCGGCAGTTGTCCACTGGCCGTCGTCGCCGCCGTGTTCTCTGATATTTACGACAATCGCACCCGTGGTGTCGCCATCGCCATTTTCTCGAGCACGGTGTTCTTAGGCCCACTCCTCGCGCCGTTCATTGGTGGTTTCATCAATATGTCCTATCTAGGCTGGCGGTACACCGCGTATATTCCGGCCTTCATGGGGTTCTTTGCCTTCGTCCTGAACGTGTTCTTCCTGAAGGAATCATACCCCCCAGTCATTCTGATCAGCAAGGCCTCGGAACTGCGCCGTCGCACCAAGAACTGGGGCATCCATGCCAAGCAAGAGGAGATTGAGGTCGACTTGAAAGACCTCCTCATCAACAATTTCTCCCGTCCGTTGCGGTTGCTCATCAACGAGCCTTTGATCCTTGCCGTGACGGTCTACCTGAGCTTTATCTATGGCTTACTCTACTGTTTCCTGACGGCGTACACGCTGGTGTTCCAAGGGGTCCACGGTATGAACGCGGGCGTGGGTGGACTGCCTCTGTTTGGCATGGTCGTGGGTTTGTTTATCGCCGCGGGATACATCATTTTGTCCAGCGGAGCGTACAACAAAAAGCTCGAAGCGAACGGGGGCATCCCCGTTCCCGAATGGCGTCTCCCACCGGTGATCATCGCGGGAGCGCTCTTTGCGGCGGGGTTGTTCTGGTTTGGCTGGACGGGCTTTACCGATAGCATTCACTGGATCGTCCCGACCCTGAGCGGTCTCTTCACCGGCTTTGGACTCCTGATCATCTTCATCCAGCTGTTCAACTACCTCATTGATACGTATCTGATGTTCGCCGCTTCCGCCATCGCCGCCAATACCTTCGTGCGTTCCTTGGTCGCGTCCAGCTTCCCACTCTTCTCCCGGCAAATGTTTAACAACATGGGGATTCAGTGGGCGTCCACGCTCCTGGGCTGTCTGGCAGCGATCCTGGTGCCCATCCCCGTCATCTTCTTCTTCTACGGCAAGCGACTGCGCATGAAGAGCAAGTTCGCGCCCATCTACGAGAAGGCCGAGGAGCCGATGAGTGACGAGAATGAAATTGCCGCCGAGACCAATGGGCCCATACGGTGATAGTATGAGCAAACCCATCAATAACTTCACGCCTCTCGTCCCCCGTTCCAATCCATGGGGTATAGAGGGCGTCTTAATCTCTTCCCTTTGAAAAAAAGCACTATACCCCGAATTTGTCTCAATAAATCTTAGTTTAGCATCTAATGTAATCATAGCATTTTTTTTTCTCGTACTAGTTGAGACTCCGACTCTTCATGTACTTTAAGATAGTATCCAATCCAAGCAGACTTCGACATTATGCAGACCTCTATAGACATGATGCTGACATTTGAGCCGAAAGTCACCCGCCCTTGGGCCGTCCAAGTACAGGTTTTCTCTGCTGAATATCTTTCGATAACGTAGCCCTGGACGGCAAATCGCCCATATTGCCGTACCCCCTACTGTTTATATCACAACTCCTGCTTTGCTGGACAGCTCTTTTGAAACAACATGAGACGAGGTGGTCACACCGGAGGGTACAAGAATAATATTGCATTGCCGTTACCAGCAGGTAAAACCGCAATGAGAAAAAAGAGAGAATCATGTATTAGATCATAGTATAGTCTCATAGAGGGTGGATCCATGGATATCATACGAGCACGTAGAGTTGGGAGTATTCCTTCTGATACAGTCTAACCGCCAACCCTAAGGACCTATACAAGGAAGTGACACGTTCGCTAAACAGGATCTCATTACGCGGCAATGCCTAGACTGTGCTACTCCATGGCTGTGTCATACAGTTGATGTGATACTTCAATTATAGTGAAAATCAATCATAATCAATCCATGATTCAATACTTACAGATGACACAGAACGAAATAACATAAAGACTAACCAAATTCACCTTGTTCGTAAGGCCCAACTCTGACTTGACCAGTTGACTAGACACATCCCAACTCCATCGGTGGCCCTTGAGGTCAACGGAACTCCAGGGCTCAGATCGTTTGCTCAGCAGCTATTGGAACACTGGCAGGCATTGGACGTACAGCGCCAGCATCGGAAGCCAAGTCGGCCACAGATATTCCTACATTGAGCCGGAGTCAGGCCACCACATGCTTGCGTTGCAGAAGATACAGCGGCTATCATAGTTTATTAGTGCAAGATCAGTACAATAGTTATGACGCTTGAGAACCTACAAGAATTGATAGAGACATCCTCGGGGAATGAGACATCCTGGGGGAAGGACATATTTTCTGTGGCGTGAAAAGGCTCCGTCGCAGCTGCAGCCGCGAGAGTGGCACACGCGGCAAGGAGAAGTGCAACCTTCATTGTATGGAGTCGGTGATAAAAAGCAATTTTTTGTGATGCTCGTCGCCAGATGAGCAACTCAGTTGAGAAGGACTGGCAGGAAGTGTTGTTTGAAGGGGAAAGTAATCTGTATTTATATCTCGAGGATACTGTCTGCCGGGTGCATGTGCCAGACATGGCTATCTAAACCATGCCGATATCAAGTGACAGATCCTCGAGTGTGCACTCGATAACATTCTTGTGATACATAAGAGAGTTCTAAACGCGTTAACTGCGGGGTTGGAGGTCTCTAATCCAGCCCATATGCTTGGACTTCTAACCAGCCCGGCCATGTGTGAACGAATTCAAGACAAGTCCGATCATGACTATCCCGCTTCGAACTAATCAATGTCGCATTTATATCCAAGTGATAGTCGCATTACTTCCCTCATCTGACGTATAGGAAATTCCAGGCCCACTGCATGCGCCAAAGTGGTCGGAGAAAGGTTGTCTGGCCGTGCTTTCGAATCTTCTCTACACATTCTTCCCGCACTTTATATCTCTGTTAGGATGCACCTCTCGCGCCAGTGGCGCAGTCCAGCCCCTGAGGACGGACAAAGCGAGGAGTCCATGTTGTGTAAACATGATCCTTGAAACCCTGAGCCGGTCTCATGATATAACTCGTGGTTCGGACATGCAACAGGACATGAGATTACCAGCAAAGTGGTGTCGGGTGTAGATGTTAATACATTTACTTTAGGATTTATCAGCCCTCAATACATTGACGCTGGGCATGTTATTTGCGTTGGTATCTGTGTCCAGATGTACACATGATGGCCTTGATTATGTGAATTAAATGCTCCGTCATGGATTGGGGAATGAGTCGTAGCAGTGCCGTCATACTATTAAGACGTACTATCACCCAACATGCCATTGCTTTATACGTACTCTTGTGTCTCCTCAAAGCATCACAGTTACTCACTCGTTAGACCGTCACATTTGACATTCCACCCATAAGATCAATCACTTATTGTTACAGCCGGTGCGACGTGTTTGACCATGAAACCCTAGCTCAGTTCTACTAGCTGGTTGACCATCAAGCCTTTATTTCTCATGATAATGAGGCTATTGCCTTGTATCAGTTGAGACGCTTTTGCCTTCATACAGCTGAACATCCAGCCCAGGTCAGCCCCACAGGTGTTAATCTTGTGCTCCTTTTGGAATCTCCTAAAAGAACTCTTGGGGGGGAAATCCTTCGAAAGAGGACCCATTAGTATGAGTCTTAAATTTGAGAAATGTGTAAGTACGGCACGGTGAATTATCTGTCACAATCATATGCATATCATGCACTTTGGTGCCATCGATAGTGGGTCATGGGCCACCGGATGATTTGCAAGCCCCCTGTGGTGGATTGTCACTCATCGAGTCCACATATGGAAAGAATTACCTATCATGGCGGCACAACGTCGAATTCGGCATACGGAGAGGATATGAGGGCGGACAATGAGGTATGCACTGCAACGGTGACACCAATTGCCCTTGTCCTAGATGTCCAGGGACCTCTTGGCTGTAGCATACAAGGGATACTGTGACGTCGGACAATGTTCCAAAGTAAGGGGAATGGTGTATGCAAAGAATCAACCCGTTGATATAATTAGGGCCATGGGTTGCACAACATCAACAGCCGTGGGGCTAGTCAAACCCCCCTTTAGACCTAGACTGGTGGTCAGAGCTGATGGTGGCACGAATACGGCACGGCACACGGTAATGTCTCAAAGAAATCAACGGCACTTGGACTCCAGGGTTACATGCATATCCCCCGGCTGACTAGGACGCTGTCCACTGGGTAGCATAAGAGACAAGCAGCAGCCACAGATCCGTGCGTACATTTGGCCGAGTACTGATTCTTCCTGCCCACTCCTCTGGCTTCTCCCTTCATTGGGCGACAGAAATAATATGCTGCGGTTAAACCTGGATAGTGTAGCTGAGAAGACGAGCCTCGAGGTTCAACGCCGTAACCAACGCAGATTCACATCATGACTGGGTGAAGTGACACATAATACCATGGTGTTGAGATTCCAGAAAAGTTCCAAAGCGTTCACGATGGGGATAAATATCTCCTTCTCGTCGTTGACCGTCTTACTCAATTTTACGCCAAATCCATCTCTGAAGGTTGGCCAGCGGTAATCCATATACACGTACATATTCACCATTTCAGTCAAAATGGTCGTCATTGAGACTCGCGTGACCCTATTTGCCATACTCGGCGTATGCTACCAGGCCGCTCTCATTGCCTCCATGCCGAATCCTGTTTCTCCTGCTGCGGCTTCGAGTAATACTAGCCCTGTCGACGAGATAAGCTCTCTCACGGCGGCGGAGGCAAGTTTTCATCCCCACCACCGCTGTCCCGACAATGTGCAATCGATTTGCTGACTGGACCTGCTTCAGGGAACTTGTGTAGGACGTTGCTACGACAGACACTGCATTTGTGTTCCTTTCCACGTGTGCAATTGCCGAGTGAATGGGGGACACTGCGTCTGTCGATTGTAGGTGTGGGAGGAATAATTTGAATGGGGTGGAATGGAGTATATCGTTGTTTTCCTATGATGGGCTGGCGGGAAGTTATCAAACAAGTAGGAATAGGTCCTTCTTGTTCTACTTGTGTATTTTCGAGTTCGTCTTCTTCTTCCTCTTCTTCTCCTTTTTTTTATTTTGCGTGTGTATGTGTTTCTGCAAGTATCCTCTCCCATGAATTATTTAGGCTAGAATTTTGATATGGAACAAGTAACTGCGAGAGTACCGCGGCTACTATCATTCGCCCTCTTCGGCGCTTGCCAAATCGACCGGTGCGGCGACCTAAGCGCAGGATGCAGCAAATGCTGATCCTTGTTTCTCTTATGCATCGACCCGGAGCGGGGCAAGACGAGGCGCCGATTGCGTGATTCGACCCCCGTTTTCTGATTCTTGTTGAAGTTCTTCATCTTCCTCCCTCAACGCAACATACTATCATCAACCATGGTCACCAATGTTGGGCCTCAAGAAGATGCTGAAAGGCCGTTGCTCGCCGATTCTCCAGAACCAAGCTATGAAGCCGTAGCAGCGCCCACGAGCGCGTCGGATGTAGCGCCTCGCGCCACGTTCAGGCGGAATCTGGGGGCCATGGAAGCATTTGGCATCGTCATTAGTATTGTCATCGGAAGTGGAGTCTTCACATCTCCTGGCGCTATTGATACGAACGTTCCATCACCCGGCGCTGCTCTCATTGTGTGGCTTGTGGGAGGGCTTCTGGCTTGGACGGGGGCGACAACGATGGCCGAACTCGGCACAGCAATTTCCGGCGAAGGTCTGCATTTCCGACCCCAAGATTGATATTTAGGCACTAGGGCCATGGGAGACTAACTCAACCTACAGGGGGTGTCCAGCCGTATCTGCAGTATGCCTTTGGCGACATCCTTGGCTTCCTCGCTGCATGGACTTGGATCATCGCCGTGATGCCGGCGACGCTCGCCATCCTCAGCATTGTTTTTATTGAAAGCATCTACTCTGCCGCGGGGATAACTAACCAGGCCGCTTCAATCCAACACAAGCTTCTCTCCATCCTGGTGTTGATCGCGATTGGTGTAGCCAACTCGATTAGCACAAAAGTTAGCACACGGTTGAGCAGTTTCTTTGTGACGACGAAATTTGCTACAATTACTGGAATCGTGCTTGCAGGCCTTCTGGTAGTGCTTGTTCATTTGTCAAGCACGCACTGGGACGGGCCAGCAACGGATTGGTATACCAAGTCGTGGTT